AAAATATGCAATTTCCTCGCGAATGATAAGCGAGGCAAAAGAATATAAAGAGAGAAAAAGAGCAAAAAATGATTTTATGCAAACACGCGCATCAGTTAATAATAAAAAGGCACTTTTACACGACGAGTACGTGTAGTTATGTGCAAGAAGCAGTAAAAAAAAAATAAGAATGCCAAAATCAACTTCAAACCTTATGTTGTTGCTTTATTGTCACCGCGGCAACACTTCGCCATTGTTTACCCGATGTACACAAAATCAAGGCACAAAATCACATTGCCACAATTTTTGTTAACAATACAATACAATTTTTTGTTAGTATGCACTACATACATTATACATACATAGGCCCAAAGATGTATGTCAGCATTTGATTGGTTCGTATACATTCCTGTGCTATTTCTTGTTGTTGGCTTTGTTTATGCAAGAGACAGCGTAGTTTGTCAGGGTTGACAGCATTGTAACCCAGTCACTAGATAGTTCTTGAGTTGTTGTTATTTTTAGTCTATTGTGTAAGTAACTATGAGAGGATATATGTACACATGCGAGAGTTTTCGATTGGGATATTCACAGAGTTTGAAAAGCGGGTGACTTATGGAAAACACAGTTTTTCCACAGCAGTTCGCGCCCTGATATCAAAGGATGCAGAATAGAGAGAGAGTTGGAGTGGCTAAGAGGGCTGGCTGATATCAGAAAACTGAATTCTGTTCTTTCTTAATTTTGGATTTGGCATCCAGCAAAGGCCGTGGTAATATGTATCCATTCTCCTCTTCATAGTATGGGCTACTTTGGACATTGCTGGAGGGAGAGCAGCGTCAGTAAGTGTGCTATGTCCAATCTAGATGAAGAGAGGCGCCAGATGGGGCCTATTAATGTGGCATAAGACTCTTAGTGATCGCATGTTAAGTCCATTTGGAGCATCAACGGAAACCTGGTAGATTCACCACTCGCCATATATGCATCAAATCCTTCAAAGGACCGGTCGAATAGCCCTTCATAGATTTTAAACGCGCCTTCTATTCTTCTTTTAATGAATACCCCAATCTCTTTAAATGAAAGTCTAGCCAATCACCCAAAGCAATAAACCAGATTCCCAAAGGCCAACAATGGATTTGAACTTTATTGCAACTAAAATGAAGTAAAATAAATTCAACTGAGCATACATAGATATCTCTTGATTGTAACAAAATGCCAAGGACAACATTTACACACACACACACACACATACAAATAGGCACAAAATATAATTCACTAAAAGGAGCAAAAGAGCAACCGAAAATCTTGCTGGTGTTTCCTAAAGTGGCCGAGTGGCAAAAGCAACGAAATTGTATGGGTTTGTGTGTATGTGTGCATAAAGAGTGGGTTGACCAAACTTCTACAGCTGGCTATTTGCGAAAAAAAATACAAATTTACTCAATCTTCAGCGTGCGCGTAGCGGCTGCACAAACTTTCAAAAAATACACAACCTGTGAAAATGGACCGTTAGTGAAACAATGCTCACGTAATTGGTATCGACGACCGGCATTTAGGCGGACAACGAGCAGTGAGCATAGTATTCCTTTGTACATTTACTCTTATGTATGTAAGTGTGTATGTATGTGCCTTAGCGAGTGCATAACCAAAGTAATGTTCCTTTCTAAGAGTGGGTGGACAAACAATGAGCAAAATATATGCATGCAGGCTGGGCTGTGCTGCGCTGCTCTGCTATATCGCTGATAGTTTGTGAAACTTGTAGCATACATTTAGGCTGCGTACGTAATTCTTGCTTGCACAGAAATTTCGGCTAACGAATTGACATATGTGCTTTGCGTGTCAGGAAACTAAAAGTTGATCAAGCCTTTTTCGGCACTAATATTCATATTATTGTTTTTGTTTTATATTTCTTCTATTTAACTTTCATCATTGTGATATTTGATGATTTTTTTCCTTTATTCAAAATGTCTATTCACACAATATTTGTTACTATTTTTCGTTACAAAAACCGTTTTTATGTACGCAGTAAAACAAAATAAAAATAACTAAAATATTTAAAATAAAATAAAATAAAGTAAAATAAAATAAAATAAAATAAAATAAAATAAAATAAAATAAAATAAAATAAAATAAAATAAAATAAAATAAAATACAATTAAAAAAAAAATAAATTAAGATAAAAAAAAAACAACAAATAGATATTTAAAAGTAAAGAAAAACAGAGTTAATAAGAAAATATTTTTCCTTTACGGCAGCATGTTCTTGTGATATAAAGTTCATATTTGAAATGAAATGAAAATTATAGCATTTTTACGCTTGTTGTTTTTACAGCTCATTCGCACGCCGTAACCGGGCAGGTGGCACTCGACCACAGGACCTTGGTGACATAAATAAAATTTTACTAGGCAACAGCTAATTTTATAGCAGAGAATTTGAAAATAAAATGTAAACAATTTTTATACACTCAGTGCTATACACAAAATGTGTGTAAAATATAATAAAGAGGACAAATGGATGAATGTAAGCTGCAAAGGAAAGAGCAATAGACATATCCTTCAGTCGTATAAAGTAAAATTTCGCATATAAAAAAGTACGCCAAAATGCATATTGGCCACAGAAACCGGTTAATAAAAATACCTTACGCTACACACATGCTCACACACTCACACACTCACACACTCACACGCTCATACATGTCACGCAGTGAATTTGCTAATATGAACTTTATGCTTCGGGGAGTAAACGAACTCATCAACGCCAATTGCGCTGTCGCAAGAAATCGTAAATAATGCACACAAACACACACACACACCTAGACTCTCACACATGCACACCTCAATATCTGTCGGTTGTCATAAAAATATTGCATTTTTTGCGTTTGACTACCCACGATTTAACAGCTTCTCAGTTGTTTTTGTAAATTATTACGCGACATGAGCGAAATGCTCTGTCGCCTGCAGTGCGTGGCTTCGTTTCGTTGATAGCAGCAATAAATCGGTTGGCCGCATCACTCGTATCACAATGGAGTGGATTTTGTGTTTTGTGTCTGAAACCGCTGCCGCCGCATATTATTATGTGCGTGGCCGTAAATGGAACACCAGTGCACATAAGAGCAAGGTGAGGTAGTAAAATGTATGTATATGTGTGTACTAAAAGCTACGGGCGTATGGAAGACACATTCAGTCGTTTATGCGATGGGATTTAAACTAAGCTGTGCTCACCACGACTAATAAATTATTTGTGCTTTTTATATTTTTTAATTTAATAAAATATTTTGAGGAAATTTTACAAGCAATAAAATTTTTTTATTGTGGTTAAAAATATGTATAAATATGTTTGCTTTGGACGTATAATTTTTTATATGACTATTAAAATCCATACCACCATTTCTGCTCTCAAAATTACTCGTCGACTTTGTGAATTTCCCAAATATGTATGACGCTATATAAAATTTGTATCTGTCCCGTCCTGACACAAAATCCAATGCAACTCTCTCTTCTGAGTAATCTGCATACCAAAAGGGAGGTGGGAGAAGTCAAATAATTCCGAAGGATTTTCAACTTATAAGCCTTTCATCTTCCCTAATAAAAACCATAAGGATAATGCTCGACGCTAATACCTCCAAATAAGCTACTGTATCTTATCAGGAATAACCACTTTCTGCTGAATTAAGAGGTGCATCAGTTTTCAGGTATGCCACAGGTGCAGTTCTCTTGCACTTTCTATGATGTTATATAGGCAACGCGTTGATTCGTTAGATAATAAATATGCTGACGACATTGCCCTCACAGCGATCTACTTCAAAATGGCCTTCACACAGTAAGTAGCTAGAGCAGTAAGTGCGATCTAAATGTAAATCCTTCAAAGACCGAGTTACTACTCTTTACTAGAAGTTACAAACCATTTGACTTCGAAACACCCTTACTCAAAGACATCGAGGTCGCTCGTTATACGGCTGTAATTTGGTGATCGGCAAGAGAAAGGGACTAAAATCACATGTTCTTTACGGACTATGCAAGGCGGTAATAGGACCCATATTATTATACGAAGTCACTGTCTAGTGGCCAGCACTAAGCAAGGCCATCTACCTGGCAGCAAGCTGTAAAAAGTCTAATGGACGACCATACTCATTACAGAAGCGCTACCCTATAATCCTAAGACAGCCTGTGAAAGTTTGCTTCATTTTCTACTGGCAACCCACTATGAGAAACACGCCCAAATACTAAACTCTATATAACTCTTGGAAGAGCTGGACTACTCCACATCCATCTTCTGTTTCGATAATGCTTTCTCAACAAAGTGGGAAAATGTAGCAGTTCTGGATCATGGATCCATCTTCACCGACAACTCTAAATTAGATGACAAAGTGGGCTGTGCAGTTTCGTCTGAACCGCTTGCTTTAAAATGAAGCGTCCGCAAGTATATCGCTATTCTCGGCAAAGTATCTGCTACGACTAGCCTTCTCCAGAAGGGTCAACAGCAGTTGGAAGAACGGAACCAAAAGACAAATCTGACCATTAGTTGAATTAAACAGAACTAAATTTGCACTCCTTCTAAACCACACCTCCGTTAGCATAACAGGGACAAGAAGGATGGATTGCTTCCCAAATGAATTTTCAAAGTTCCGTAATCAGGCATTATGTTCTAATTTCTTTTATACTTTAGTATCTTTATTTTTAAATTTTTTAAGTTTTATTTGATTTCGTTTTATTTTATTTCGATTTACTTTATTTTATTTTATTCTATTTATTTCATTTTATTTTAATTTTTTATTTCATTTGATTTTTCTTTTATTTTATTTTATTTTATTTTATTTTATTTTATTTTATTTTATTTTATTTTATTTTATTTTATTTTATTTTATTTTATTTTATTTTATTTTATTTCATTTAATGTAATTTAATTTAATTTAGTCTTATTTTAAATTTATTTATTTAATTTAGTATAATTTAATTCTATTAAATTCATATTTTTTATGATTTTTTTCCTTTGTTTTCAGATATAAATAAACGAAATAACGCTGCGTTGGTGTTGGTACCGTTAGTTTTTTGAAAGCACCATTTATTTTATTTATTTATTTATTAAGACATTATGATATTTTCTTGTTTGTTCTAGGTGGTTTTCTATGAGATTAAGTTAGAATAATAGACTAGAAAACTGAACGTAATTCGAATTGTTTATAGCATCATTGTATTCCCGTTAGTTGTAGTAGTAGTTGGTGATTAATAGTATTATTTGTTTTTAATAAACCCATGATTTTGGTTTTAGTTATTTTTTTAAATTGGTGTTAGCTACTCAAGTGCACTCAAGAGTACTATATTTGAGGTTATTTTAGGAGTGATTTGAAGAACACTGTGCATTGTTGAAATATCATGATTAAGTTGCGTTTAAAATTGCAAATTTCATTTAATGTTTTTTTAATTTTGCTTTTGCTTCGCACAAACTTCTCGCCACGCACATTACATCAATTAAGCAGTTTTCGCTGCATGCTTAGCCTTCTTCGTCCAAAGTTTCTGTAAGCGACGCATAAAGTTGCCATGCCATTTTCTGAGCACAGCAGATTTCTTCTTTGACTTTCATTTTGCCTTCTCCGTCGAATCAAAACGTGCTTTCTTCGATTTCTCACCTTCCCCGTTGCCTTCGTCAGCCTCGCCTACATCCTCCTCACCATTCTCTATAGCTTTTGCATCCTTCTGCGCTGCGTTGCTGTCGGTGGTGGTGGTGCCAAAGTAGGCACCCGTCTGCTCAATATCCACCAAACGCTCTACATCATCCAACGGCGGTGGTGGCGGCACCATAATTGTCAATACACCATCGGTGGAACGTGTTGCTTTGGCTAAAGTGGCATCGTAGTTCCGCGGCAGTTTGTATTTGCGTGTGAATTCGCGTGTAATGCAAAATTTACTCTTCTCACCACGATCGTTCTTCTGTTTGCCCGTCAAGATGAGGGTATCATTGTTGCGCACCTTCAAGACCAGTTCATCATCACGGAAATGATGCACATCGATAACAACCTTGAAGGTGCCCTTACCATTGCTGTCCGGCTCATCGCCCGTCTCGATGCACACACGGCTGGCCAAACACGAACGATGACACCAAGGTCCGTCCTCGCTCCAGTGATGCAAGTGCCAATCACGTGCGCAAACATCTATATCATAATCGCTGTGGGTGAAAGCGGATTTCCAACGACGCGCTATCGGGCAGCGTGCATGATAGCTGAAGCTATCGAAGGCGGGCCACAGACGTGTGCTTGGCCAGTGCCAAAAGTGATCGTGTGGCCAATCCCAGTCGAAATCCCAGTGCACGGGCATAGCTTCTCTGTTTATGCTATCGTACGTTTTATGCCTCGCTGGGTGCCGGCATTAACGTTGTCGTTTTATATTGGGTTTCGCAGTTATTCAGGTTTTCGTATCGTTGTCGTCGTTGGTGTGATTATCGGTTGCCGTTATGCTGCGACAACCAAAATTTTTTGGACTTGCTACCAAAAAAAATGTTGTCACCACCGCTCACGGCACGTGCCAAGTTCGTACTGATTCGAGTGCGCGCTGTACAATTGCCCAAGAAACCGTCCTCTTCGTCGCCAAACTCGGTGAGTCTGTGTGTGTGCAGGAATGCGTGGTGAATATCGTGCCAAGCAAGCATTATTCTTATAACGGTATTTCGTAAAGCGGTAAACTTAGCTGAGGTTGAGGTAGGGAGACACTCAAGTATATTTGCATATTTGTTAGGCTTCGTGCGCTAGTCAACACTACCATTAATTATGTCGTAACTATGGCAAATGAAAGCACGTAGCAGAAAAGAATTGCACACACTAGAACGTCAAAGTAGCTATATTGAGTGAGTTTGAATTTGAGTTGAAGTTTGAGTATGAGTAAAGTTTTGAGTCGAGTTTATAAAAAGATGTAGCAGGAAAAACTACATACCTAAAAAGTTGAGTTACTATTTGGAGTGGTTCAAATTTGAGTTTGAGTTTGATTCCCTGCTGAATTTTGAGCTCAAGTGTGGGTGGGCTTTTCAGTTTGGTCTTAAGCAATAGTGAGTTTAGGTTTCAGTTGATAATTTAGTCGGTGCGAAAGTGTGAAGGAAATTTTGAATTTGAATGTCAGTTTGGGCTTAATTGAGACCATTACTGTTTACTTAGGTTTGAGTTCTGGCTTACCGTTATGAGATGTAGCCTCATGTATGTTTAAATATGAGTTTAGGTGTGCATGAGAGTTTTGTATTTGAGTATGAGTGATTATTTTAATAATCCTAAGGGTTAATTGAGCTTCGAGCGCGAAGGAAAATGAGATTAGAAAACCAAAATAGCAAGCAAATAGCTCCCAAAGAAAATGCTTTTAGTACGTTACAGTGTGAGTTTTAGTTTGAGCTTAAATTGAGTTTTGTATCTAGTTTGATTTTAAACTTTGTATTTAGTTTGAGTTTGAGTACGAGTTTGATTTTAAGTGCGAACTAGAGTTTTAGCCAAACTAGTTTAGCAAGAGTTTGAGTTTACGTTTGAGTTTGCGCTTGAATTTAAGAGTGATTTTGAATTTGAATCCGTTTTTGAGTATGCATTTGAGCTTGGGCTTAAGTTTGAGTTTGATATCCAGCTGAAGTGGAAGTTTCAATTGGAGCTTTAGCTGGAGTTTGCGCTTGACTTTTAGCTTGAGAATATTTTTTTTTCATTCGAATTTGAGTTTAAATTTGATTTTGAGTTTACGTTTGAGTTTGAGCTTGAATTTGAGTTGAAGAATACGTTTTTATTTGAATCTGAGTTTGAATTTAAATTTGAGTTTAAATTTACGTTTGAGTTTGTGCTTGAAATTAAGTTTGAGTTTGAGTTTGTATTTGAATTTGAGTTTTTGTTTGAGTTTCAGTTAAATTCGAACCTTGGCTTTGAATTTGAGTTTAAAAATTGTGTTTAAATTTAATTTTGAGTGAAAGTGTAAGCGCATTCCTACTCTATGAATTTTCGCTATTAATATTATATTTTAACAACATATACATAAAAACATATGTGCATATATACCGTCACATTTCCGCATGCTATTGTTTGATCAATAATCGATTTTTCGGAACAACAAACTTTACACCGTTTACCGTTGCTCAGTGGGCCGTAGTAGTGCAACACCTCAATTGCTGGTATTTAAAAAATATATATATATGTATGAGTACTTGTATGTATGTACATATATAGCCTATATATAGTATGCAATACTATGTACTTCCCGTTAAACCCTTTCACGTTGGCATACGTGCCGTTTGAGTGTTAGAAAAAAGCACGTTTCCCTCGTCGCTAGCTTTCCGCTCTCTGCTTTTTGCTTTTTGCTTTTTTGCTTCCTGCTGCATACCAATACACGTGACGCGAACGCTTTGCGCCATTCCCCATGGCGAACTGAAGTACGGTGTAGACTATACGTCAGCTGACAAACGATCCAGTTGGTGGGCATGTGTGAGTATGTGAGTATGTGTAAGTGCGAAAACCCATTGCGGTAAGCGAACAGCTTTTCCACTTTTTCCTCCATTTTTTTCTACAATCCCTCTTCTTCTACTACATTTCCTTAGCCACTGTATGTGTGTATGTGCTCTTCTGCTCTTCGTGTAGCGAATTTACACGCTAAACTTTCGCTACGGAAGTGTAACTAATGAAATTCGTGACCTTATGAGATAGTAAAAAGAGACAAGGGAATCGCACTGTCGTCGCAGTGAGTGCGGTGATGAGAGAAGTGGAACTCAAAGGAGCGGCATACATGCAGCGTATAAAAAATTTTGCTGGCTTTTGTGCAGGTAATGGTGGGGATGTCGTAAGATATGTGTTCTGAGAAAGCAAAAAATCGAATAAAATGTAATTAAAATATATAAAATGTTAAAAAAAAAACTCTAATTCGTATTTACAATGGATATGTACACGTGTGTAAGTAGCGAAGCTTTTGAATTAATTTTTTTATATTTTGTTTTTGATTTTTCCTTTTATATTTCAGTAAGGAAACTAAGCAATGAAGCTGTTAAACTAAAATTGAATTACAGAAAGTTATATAATTATTTTACAAAGAAAACTTGACTTGAGTTGGCGCTAACTTTTTGGTTTTCATATCAGACGTGTAGTCAATCTGGTCGCAGATTGTTTTGGAGCTGACTGGTGACGTATCGACGATAACCGTAATGCATTGCTTTAGTAATTAAAAAAAAAAAACAACAACAAAACATATACAATAAAAATGCAGATAAATAAAATAAAAAATTTTGCTAAAAATATTGGAAGATGTGAAAGCAATTGCTTGACTTTAAGCGGCACACCGAGTGAAATGGCCTAAAAAAAGGTGATTTTTGGGAATTTTTACTAAAAAAAGAATACCTCATCAATTAATACAAAATTTTAAGCATATATTTATATATGTCTCAAGAAGATACAGTGAAATTTTTGAAGAAAAAAATTAAATATTTTTTAAGTCTTAGTCGATCTCCAACGGCGCGAAAAAAAGACCCTTCACTGCTGCAGTGATTCCGGCCTTATCCGTGGATGAAATCTAAAAAAAAAACTCTCTACTAGATAACATTGTCTGTACAATGACCTACTATATGGCGGCGTTTTAAAAAAAATAGGCGAATTTTACCCAAAATTTTTGGTCGTTTTTGGCCTGTCAAAAATTCAAAAAATCGAATCAGATCAAAACTCGATAGCTCATTGTACGCAGAACTGTAAATAGAAAATGTAAAAAAAAAATCGATAGTGAACGGATTATTTACTTTTGAGTAATCACTGCAGCAAATTCGGAAAATGCTGTTACGAGAAAAACGCGTTTAAAGATAGAATGATCGTTTTCACTCGTAGCTAATGAGACTCTCTAGCTGCCGAGTGGTTGCGCCTTAAATTGCTATAATTCAAAAACTATTTGAGATATCGATTTGAAATTTTAATATATTATTTTTAAAGGTGTAGTCTACTAGTTGTGCTAAATATAAAAAAAAATAAAAATTGTTGAAAAATAGATGTAGTTTAAGAAGCAGGAATTTGGATTTTTTTAAGCCAATTTTTCAAAATATCAAACAAATATAATTTTTTAAAATTTGTACATTTTTCGCTTTTTGTATCAAATTCAGTTTCAGTTCTTGTCTCAATTTTAGACTCATTCGTTGTTAGACAAATTTTTTTATTCAACCTGAATTTCAAATTTAGACTCATTTTTAAACTAAAACTCAATTTTATTCTCAATTTAAATTTTCGTCTCATTTTCAATTTCATGCTCAGTTGCAATTTGAATCTCAGATTGAATTTCGGTTACACATTCTAATTTATTCTCAGTCACATGTAGAGACCAAATCTCAATCTTAATCGCAACCTCAATTCGCGCCTCAGATTTAGTCGTCACTTGCGACTCGGCCTCAATCTTAATGTACAAATTTTAGTCTCAGTGTCTTCAACGTTATCTCGACCTTAAGTTAAGCTTCAGTACCAATTTTAGACTCAGTCATTATTTTGGTCTGTCGAAGTTTAAAACTTAATTTCAATTTCAGTTTACATTTTACTAAAAATACTTATTTTAAATCTCAATTTAGTTTTGATTCCCAACTTCAGACTCATTCTCATCTTTAGACTCATTCTCATCTTTAGACTCATTTGCAATTTTAGACTCTATTCCAATTTTTAGCTGTCTTAGTTTTTGATTCAATCTAAATTCCATTCGGATTCTGCCTCTATTTCAATTTTATTTTTAGTTTTAATCTTAAACTCAGTTTAAGTTAAAAACACAGTTTATTCCCAAATCAATTTGATTTTCAGTCTTCAATTCAAACTTAACCTCTTTCCGGTGGCAGTTTCGGCTTAACTTTGGTTTTGAATCGATTTTAAATTGAATTTGGTGTAGATTTTGGGCAAGCTCAAGGTACAGGTTGACTATGGGTTTAAGATAAAGCAACAGTTTGAGTTGCAATTATAATTTGAGTGCATATCTGGATTTGAAATTGAGGTTGAGTTGGAGTTTTATTTTGTGCTTGAGTTTTTTTATTTGATTAAGTTTGAAATCAATTTTGAATTTGAGTTCGGTTTTTGAGGTAAAGTTGGAATTAAAGTTTAAACTCAAACTAAATTAGAGCTTATATTTGAATTTTAATTTATGTTTAAAATTGAGTTAATGTTTGAGCTTGATTTCGATTTTGGATTTGAGTTTGAGTTTATGTTTGAGGTTTAGTTTTCGATTGAGGTTTAGTCTCAGACTGTGGCTGAGTTAAAGTTTGAGTTTAAACTTAAGTTGGCGTATGATTTTAAGTGTGAGACTGAGTTGGAGCTGAAGGTTGAGTAGGAGTTAACGTTTGATCGTGGTTTTAGACTTGATTTCTAGCTCGAGTTAAGTATTGGACGCGACTTTGAGCTGGAGTTTGAGTTAGAGTTTGAGTTCGAGTATTTTTTTTTTGTTAAAGTTTGAGTGCAAATGTGTTTTTGAATGAAAGTCTGAGTATGAGTGTGAGTTTGAGGGTGAGTTTGAAGGTGAGTTTGAGGGTGAGTTTGAGTTTAAGATTGAATTCGACGTTGAGCTG